CATGAGCGCAAGTTCTTGTAAGCTGTACAATAATCACTAATAAAATGGTACAAAAGTAACAAAATATATCACTGAAAGATTACCGCTAGTTTCCCGTCCAAACGTAGTTTGAACAGAGATAGTCCGAGCGTAGATATTCGAGCTTTAGTTCCTCTTCTCTTCCTCACTGTTGTGTGGTTTGGGCTGTTTTGCTGTGTCTGCAGTTACTGCCAGAGGAGTTATAGCCACCTATGCTAACATGCCTCTGTGTTAGCGCTATAGAGGCTAACGCAGCCTCGTTGTGTGATTGGAGGAGAGCGAGCGTCACGCCAAGTTACTACATTCAAGTTGTATTATAATACGTAATTGAATGTAAAACGTGAGCTCATTGATTCAGATGTGATGAATTCAGGAGTAAAAAGTGCTGAGTAGAGGCACTTTTTACTCCTGAATTCATCATCCTGATTTTCCCATTGACTTTGCATTGAAATCGCTTACTTCCAAGTTTTTCTTCCAGATTTATATGTACGTCCATTAAATCTGGAAGTATAAGGGAGCTTCCACATTTATATGTTATTCAATATTACCGATAAAGATGCTAACCATGCTAATGTCCACGCTAATGCTACTATTACTACTACTACACTACTACTACTACTACTATTGGTCTACTGGTGATGCTAATGCTAATGCTAATGGTGATGCCAATGCTAATGCTAACGTTAATTGTTATGTTAAAGCTAATGTTAATGGTGATGTCAATGGTGATGCCAATGGTGATGCCAATGGTGATGCTAATGCTAATGCTAATGTTAATGGTGATGTCAATGGTGATGCCAATGGTGATGCTAATGCTAATGCTAATGCTAATGCTAATGTTAGTGTTAAAGCTAATGTTAATGGTGATGTCAATGGTGATGCTAATGCTAATGCTAATGCTAATGTTAATGTTAAAGCTAATGTTAATGGTGATGTCAAAGGGTGATGCTAATGCTAATGCTAATGCTAATGCTAATGCTAATGTTAATGTTAAAGCTAATGTTAATGGTGATGTCAATGGTGATGCTAATGCTAATGCTAATGCTAACTTAATGGGTTTTTGGGTCTCCACTCACACAGCGGTGTCTCTGACACCAGCTGGACACGCTCAATGAAGGGCAAGTTCTTATTCCCAAGTTTTGCGCAAAGTTAGATCTAGAGCTCTACCATTTGGACAGGTCATAGCCTGTGTCGCTGGGATAGCGGGAAAAATAGGGGCCAGTTCTAATTCCCACACTTTTGCGCAAAGTTGCTGCTAGAGCTCTACAATTTCGACAGGTCATAGCCTGTGTCGTTGCGATACCTGGGAAAATACTAATAACTTTGTATCTTTTGAAACGGCCCTACAATCGGTGAATGAATTTTGAATTTTGGCGGACCTTGCTGCAGCTCATATATGTGACTCGTCACATGAAGGGCTTTCCAACGATACCTCTATCATCGCTCTACGACCTCGTTTGGCCGAGTTATAACACTTAACGAGGGGAGCGGTTTCAAACGGTTGTCGCCCCCTAGCTCCGCGGTGGAACATGGCAGGGACAAAAGCCGTACACCGTTGCGTTCGGCTGGCCGAGCCGGTTCCGTAGAGGTCTGATTTGTGCCTGTGCGACCTTCGGAACAGGTTTTGGCCTTTGATTGCCTAGCTTTTTAGGGTAGGGTAAGGGTATACGGTCCTGAGACCGTCTTTAGCTTCTGGTCCAAAAACGGTCACTCGGACTTCCGAAGGGGTTAGACGCCTGAATTTTGGATATGTGGTAGAGGGCCACGAGACGAGTCCAACGGTGTAGGGTAGACCTCCGGGGGCCTTACGGTTCTCGGTGGGCGGGCCTTCGTTCGGTAAAAAATCTCACGCTAATTAAGCTCGTCACGGCTTCAAATTTAATGGAAACGAGTCCAAATTCGGCACACGCCCATTTCAACCCCGTCCGACCGAGAATCTAAAGTTTCAACCCACTCGGACACTCGGTTGGCTACTTTGCTTCCTATTGGTCGGTTTGAGCGGGCGCCTACATATTCGAGCTCAGAATAGCCTGCTGTGTAACATAGTCAAAAATGAGGCTGGTAGTCCAAAGTTGAAATGTTGGTACACCTCCCCTTTAAGGTTAGGCTTTTGAAGGCCCAAAAAGTGCTTGGAGGCTTGTTAAAAGTTCAAATTTCATCCAAACTAGTCGAAACTTGGTACGCACCCTTCTACGTACAGGCTGAACATTAATCCAAAGTTTCAACTGGCTCGGCCACCCGCTTTTTAAAAGAGGAGGGTCTCGGTGGCCAGGAAAATCCAGGAAAGTCCTGATTTTGGTTGGAGGACAGCGCCACCTTGCTGCAGCTCATATATGTGACTCGTCACATCTAGGGCTTTCCAAGGACACCTCCGTTATCGTTGTACGACCTCGTTTGGCCGAGTAATTAGACTTAACGAGGCGCATTTTTTAAAAAATTCGCGGCTGAACATTGCAGGGTCAAAAGCTTTACACCGTTGCGTTCAGCTGGCCGAGCCGATTCCGTAGAGGTGTGGTTTGTGCCTGTGCGACCTTCGGAACAGATTCCCTTAAATCCTAATCATGACCCCGAGTCAATATCCAACATAATGTGGGTCCGCTGTTGGTAGAGTGGTTAAGGTGAAGGGATGGAGATCCAATGCTCGCGGGTTCGAATCCTGCCGATGCCATTTATATTATTATTGTAAAATTAGAGATCCAGTGGTCAGTGGACTCTAAATGTATTTGAAAATGACTAAGAAGGAATTTCTGTTTTTTTAGTAGTCTACTGCTAATGCTAATGCTACTGATACTGCTACTATCACTACTACTACTACTACTACTACTAGTCTACTACTAATGCTAATGCTAATGCTAATTAGCATTAGCATAACAAACAACTCTCCTTTCTCCTTGTCTCCTCTCCTCTCTCCTTGTCTCCTCTCCTCTCTCCTTGTCTCCTCTCCTCTCTCCTTGTCTCCTCTCCTCTCTCCTTGTCTCCTCTCCTCTCTCCTTGTCTCCTCTCCTCTCTCCTTGTCTCCTCTCCTCTCTCCTTGTCTCTCTCCTCTCTCCTTGTCTCCTTTCTCCTCTCCTTGTCTCCTCTCCTTCTCTCCTCTGCTCTCCTCTCCTCTCTCCTTGTCTCCTCCTCTCTCCTTGTCTCCTCCTCTCTCCTTGTCTCCTCCTCTCTCCATGTCTCCTCCCTCTCCTTGTCACCTCTCCTCTCTCCTTGTCACCTCTCCTCTCTCCTTGTCACCTCTCCTCTCTCCTTGTCTCCTCCTCTCTCCTTGTCTCCTCCTCTCTCCTTGTCACCTCTCCTCTCTCCTTGTCTCCTCTCCTTGTCACCTCTCCTCTCTCCTTGTCACCTCTCCTCTCTCCTTGTCTCCTCCTCTCTCCTTGTCTCCGCTCCTCTCCTTGTCACCTCTCCTCTCTCCATGTCTCCTCCTCTCTCCTTGTCACCTCTCCTCTCTCCTTGTCTCCTCTCTCCTTGTCTCCTCCTCTCCTCTCTCTCTCTGTCTCTCTCCTCTCTCCTTGTCACCTCTCCTCTCTCCTTGTCTCCTCCTCTCTCCTTGTCCTCCTCCTCTCTCCTTGTCTCCTCCTCTCTCCTTGTCCCTCTCCTCTCTCCTTGTCTCTCTCTCTCCTTGTCTCCTCCTCTCTCCTTGTCTCCTCCTCTCTCCTTGTCTCCTCCTCTCTCCTTGTCTCCTCCTCTCTCCTTGTCTCCTCCTCTCTCCTTGTCACCTCTCCTCTCTCCTTGTTTTCTCTCCTCTCTCCTTGTCTCCTCCTTGTTGACTCCTTGTTTTCTCTCCTCTCTCCTTGTCTCCTCCTCTCCTTGTCTCCTCCTCTCTCCTTGTCACCTCTCCTCTCTCCTTGTTTTCTCTCCTCTCTCCTTGTCTCCTCCTTGTTGACTCTCCTTGTTTTCTCTCCTCTCTCCTTGTCTCCTCCTCTCCTTGTCTCCTCCTCTCTCCTTGTCTCCTCCTCTCTCCTTGTCACCTCTCCTCTCTCCTTGTCTCCTCCTCTCTCCTTGTCACCTCTCCTCTCTCCTTGTCTCCTCTCCTCTCTCCTTGCCTAGTTTGCTGTGCAGTTTACAGATGTTGTGATTTGTTTTCCATACATCTTGTGGTATTTTCAGAAAACAAGTTAATAAAAGAGAATGGTTACATCTATATAACACTTTTCTACCTTTGTTAGACACTCAAAGCGCTTAAATCAAGGATCCACTCATCCATGCTCTCATTCATGCACCAAAATGTGCATTAAGCAGTGGGCTGAATCTTATACCTCATTAGTTTTAGTTCATAGTGATACTATCAATTCAACATAATTTCATGATTATGCAGAAAATAATATGCACATGTTGCTAAGAATAATAATAAAAAAGATATATTATTTAAACTTTGTTTATTAGTCTTAGGTGCACAGATCATTAATCAATACATAATTACAGTAAATAGTCAAGATGGAGATACACTCAATTCAATACGAAGTTAATAAAAATATGATACCCATCTTTCTTAAAATTCAGCTTACTTATGAATGTTATTAATGTTTACCTTCTTCAGCAGGATCTTTTCATCAAAATGAAAAGCTTTCATATACATTTGTAATAGTTCTGTTCATGTGTGAAGAAAGGTCCCCACTAGGCATCACTAAAACAAGGTTTTTTTTAATAGTGACACCCGCTGGTGGTTTATGGTATGAGGTCCCCAGGAGAATAGAAAAATCGGACAAAAAAAATAAAAATGAATTGTGATGATTAACATGATTTCAGGAAGACCACAGTCCAAAAAAATTATCTGTCTTTATATCATTTTTTTATGACTTAAGACATGCCTTAAATTCTTGTTCAAAGTGAGGACCCCACGCGGTAGGTCCTAAACACACCAAAAAATTTGGTCCTCACCATGTAGCAAAAACATGTATGTGTGTGTGTGTGTGTGTGTGTGTGTGTGTCTGTGTGTATGTACTTACTGGTGCTGTAGCGGATGGTCACTGCGTCGCTCTGAGCTCCGTCGCTGTAAAGAGCCGACAGTGAAATCTGGTATTCACAGTCGTCCTCCGCCCCCTGAAGCTCTGCCTCCGTCTGGGCCACGGAGAGCTGAGAGACACACAACTATAACACTCAACTACACAACACCGCCTCCGTCTGGGCCACGGAGAGCTGAGAGACACACAACTATAACACACAACTACACAACACCGCCTCCGTCTGGGCCACGGAGAGCTGAGAGACACACAACTATAACACTCAACTACACAACACCGCCTCCGTCTGGGCCACGGAGAGCTGAGAGACACACAACTATAACACACAACTACACAACACACAACACCGCCTCCGTCTGGGCCACGGAGAGCTGAGAGACACACAACTATAACACTCAACTACACAACACCGCCTCCGTCTGGGCCACGGAGAGCTGAGAGACACACAACTATAACACTCAACTACACAACACCGCCTCCGTCTGGGCCACGGAGAGCTGAGAGACACACAACTATAACACACAACTACACAACACACAACACCGCCTCCGTCTGGGCCACGGAGAGCTGAGAGACACACAACTATAACACTCAACTACACAACACCGCCTCCGTCTGGGCCACGGAGAGCTGAGAGACACACAACTATAACACTCAACTACACAACACCGCCTCCGTCTGGGCCATGGAGAGCTGAGAGACACACAACTATAACACTCAACTACACAACACCGCCTCCGTCTGGGCCACGGAGAGCTGAGAGACACACAACTATAACACACAACTACACAACACACAACACCGCCTCCGTCTGGGCCACGGAGAGCTGAGAGACACACAACTACACAACTACACAACACACAACACCGCCTCCGTCTGGGCCACGGAGAGCTGAGAGACACACAACTATAACACACAACTACACAACACCGCCTCCGTCTGGGCCACGGAGAGCTGAGAGACACACAACTATAACACTCAACTACACAACACCGCCTCCGTCTGGGCCACGGAGAGCTGAGAGACACACAACTATAACACACAACTACACAACACACAACACCGCCTCCGTCTGGGCCACGGAGAGCTGAGAGACACACAACTATAACACTCAACTACACAACACCGCCTCCGTCTGGGCCACGGAGAGCTGAGAGACACACAACTATAACACTCAACTACACAACACCGCCTCCGTCTGGGCCACGGAGAGCTGAGAGACACACAACTATAACACACAACTACACAACACACAACACCGCCTCCGTCTGGGCCACGGAGAGCTGAGAGACACACAACTATAACACTCAACTACACAACACCGCCTCCGTCTGGGCCACGGGAGAGCTGAGAGACACACAACTATAACACTCAACTACACAACACCGCCTCCGTCTGGGCCATGGAGAGCTGAGAGACACACAACTATAACACTCAACTACACAACACCGCCTCCGTCTGGGCCACGGAGAGCTGAGAGACACACAACTATAACACACAACTACACAACACACAACACCGCCTCCGTCTGGGCCACGGAGAGCTGAGAGACACACAACTACACAACTACACAACACACAACACCGCCTCCGTCTGGGCCACGGAGAGCTGAGAGACACACAACTACTGTATAACACACTACACAACACACAACACCGCCTCCGTCTGGGCCACGGAGAGCTGAGAGACACACAACTACACAACTACACAACACACAACACCGCCTCCGTCTGGGCCACGGAGAGCTGAGAGACACACAACTACACAACTACACAAACACACAACATCGCCTCCGTCTGGGCCACGGAGAGCTGAGAGACACACAACTATAGCACTCAACTACACAACACCGCCTCCGTCTGGGCCACGGAGATCTGAGAGACACACAACTATAACACACAACTACACAACACACAACACCGCCTCCGTCTGGGCCACGGAGAGCTGAGAGACACACAACTACACAACTACACAACACACAACACCGCCTCCGTCTGGGCCACGGAGAGCTGAGAGATACACAACTATAACACACTACACAACACACAACACCGCCTCCGTCTGGGCCACGGAGAGCTGAGAGACACACAACTACACAACTACACAACACACAACATCGCCTCCGTCTGGGCCACGGAGAGCTGAGAGACACACAACTATAACACTCAACTACACAACACCGCCTCCGTCTGGGCCACGGAGAGCTGAGAGACACACAACTATAGCACTCAACTACACAACACCGCCTCCGTCTGGGCCACGGAGAGCTGAGAGACACACAACTATAACACTCAACTACACAACACCGCCTCCGTCTGGGCCACGGAGAGCTGAGAGACACACAACTATAGCACTCAACTACACAACACCGCCTCCGTCTGGGCCACGGAGAGCTGAGAGACACACAACTATAACACTCAACTACACAACACCGCCTCCGTCTGGGCCACGGAGAGCTGAGAGACACACAACTATAACACTCAACTACACAACACCGCCTCCGTCTGGGCCACGGAGAGCTGAGAGACACACAACTATAGCACTCAACTACACAACACCGCCTCCGTCTGGGCCACGGAGAGCTGAGAGACACACAACTATAACACACAACTACACAACACACAACACCGCCTCCGTCTGGGCCACGGAGAGCTGAGAGACACACAACTACACAACTACACAACACACAACACCGCCTCCGTCTGGGCCACGGAGAGCTGAGAGACACACAACTACACAACTACACAACACACAACACCGCCTCCGTCTGGGCCACGGAGAGCTGAGAGACACACAACTACACAACTACACAACACACAACATCGCCTCCGTCTGGGCCACGGAGAGCTGAGAGACACACAACTATAACACACAACTACACAACACCGCTTCCGTCTGAGCCACTGACACAACACACAACTATAACACACAACTACAGTACCACAGGTAGAGGGAGCTATCTCCTGTACCTGTGATAGCTCTCCTGTACCTGTAACAGCACTCCTGTACCTGTGATAGCTCTCCTGTACCTGTGATAGCTCTCCTGTACTTGTGATAGCTCTCCTGTACCTGTAACAGCACTCCTGTACCTGTGATAGCTCTCCTGTACCTGTGATAGCTCTCCTGTACTTGTGATAGCTCTCCTGTACCTGTAACAGCACTCCTGTGCCTGTGATAGCTCTCCTGTACCTGTGATAGCTCTCCTGTACTTGTGATAGCTCTCCTGTACTTGTGATAGCTCTCCTGTACCTGTAACAGCACTCCTGTACCTGTGATAGCTCTCCTGTACCTGTGATAGCTCTCCTGTACCTGTGATAGCTCTCCTGTACCTGTAATAGCTGTCCTATAAATGTAATAGCTTTTCTGTACCTGTGATAGCTACTGTATGTGTACCTGTGATAGCTCTCCTGTACCTGTGATAGCTATGTGTACCTGTGATAGCTCTCTTGTACCTGTGATCTCTCTCTGTACCTGTGATAGCTCTCCTGTACCTGTGATAGCTATGTGTACCTGTGATAGCTCTCCTGTACCTCTGATCTCTCTCTGTACCTGTGATAGCTCTCCTGTACCTGTGATAGCTCTCCTGTACCTCTGATCTCTCTCTGTACCTGTGATAGCTCTCCTGTACCTGTGATAGCTCTCCTCCGCTCAGGCTGATCCACTTGATGAGGTAGGACTCCACATCGTCTGCAGCCGCCGCCCACTGGACCCTGAGGGCCCCCGACGAGAAGTTAGTGACCTGCAGCTCCGAGGGGGAGGGGACCTTCACTGAGGAGACAGGAGGGACCAGGTGAGCACAGGGACCAGAGGAGCACAGGGACCAGGGGAGCACAGGGACCAGAGGAGCACAGGGACCAGGGGAGCACAGGGACCAGAGGAGAACAGGGACCAGGGGAGCACAAGGACCAAGTGAGCACAAGGACCAGGGGAGCAAAGGGACCAGATGAGGTGTGCATGTCTGTGTGTTTCTGTGTCTCTGTTTGTGTGCGTGTGTGTATGTCTGTGTGTGTGTGTGTTTGTGTGTGTGTATGTTTGTGTGTGTGTATGTCTGTGTGTGTGTGTGTCTGTGTGTTTCTGTGTCTCTGTTTGTGTGCGTGTGTGTATGTCTGTGTGTGTGTGTGTCTGTGTGTGTGTGTTTGTGTGTGTGTGTCTGTGTGTGTGTGTGTGTGTGTGTGTGTGTGTCTGTGTCTGTGTGTGTATGTCTGTGTGTGTGTGTTTGTGTGTGTGTGTGTGTCTCACGTGTGGTGATGTTCCCGCTCACTGCTGCTGAAGCTCCTTGAGGAAACAGTGATTGAACCGAGACGTGATATCTGGACAAAGACGACAGACTCTGGACCAGGACCGAGTTCAGACCCGAGACCTCCACCTGAAGAGGAGCAGGAGGTGGTGAGGAGGAGGAGAGGTAGGCGGAGAAAGAGAGGAGGTAAGAAGGAGGTGATGATGACATGAGGAGAAAGAGGAGTAGAGGAGGAGGAGAGGAGGTAAAAAGGAGACGATGTTGAGGTGAAGAGAAAGAGTTGGTGAAGAGGAGGTGGTGGAGAAGAGGAGAGGGTGAGGAGGATGAGGAGGTGAGGAGGGGGAGGTAAGGTGAATGAGGGGAGGAGGAGACGGTGAGGAGGGGGTGAGGAGGAGGTGAGGAGGGGGTGAGGGGGAGGTGAGGAGGGGTTGAGGAAGTGGTGAGGAGGGGGTGAGGAGGAGGTGAGGAGGAGGTGAGGAGGAGGTGAGGAGGGGTTGAGGAGGGGTTGAGGAGGAGGTGAGGAGGGGTTGAGGAAGTGGTGAGGAGGGGAAGGTAAGGTGAATGAGGGGAGGAGGGGACGGTCAGGAGGGGGTGAGGAGGAGGTGAGGAGGAGGCGAGGAGGGGGTGAGGAGGAGGTGAGGAGGAGGTGAGGAGGGGGTGAGGAGGAGGTGAGGAGGGGGAGGTAAGGTGAACGAGGGGAGGAGGAGACGGTGAGGAGGGGGTGAGGAGGAGGTGAGGAGGAGGCGAGGAGGGGGTAAGGAGGAGGTGAGGAGGAGGTGAGGAGGAGGAGGTGAGGAGGGGGTGAGGAGGAGGTGAGGAGGGGGAGGTAAGGTGAATGAGGGGAGGAGGAGACGGTGAGGAGGGGGTGAGGAGGGGGTGAGGAGGGGGTGAGGAGGAGACGGTGAGGAGGGGGTGAGGAGGAGGTGAGGAGGAGGCGAGGAGGGGGTGAGGAGGAGGTGAGGAGGAGGTGAGGAGGAGGTGAGGAGGGGTTGAGGAGGGGTTGAGGAGGAGGTGAGGAGGGGTTGAGGAAGTGGTGAGGAGGAGGTGAGGAGGAGGAGGTGAGGAGGGGGTGAGGAGGAGGTGAGGAGGAGGAGGTGAGGAGGGGGTGAGGAGGAGGTGAGGAGGGGTAGGTAAGGTGAATGAGGGGACGGTGAGGAGGAGGTGAGGAGGGGGTGAGGAGGAGGTGAGGAGGGGTTGAGGAGGAGGTGAGGAGGGGTAGGTAAGGTGAATGAGGGGAGGAGGGGACGGTGAGGAGGAGGTGAGGAGGGGGTGAGGAGGAGGTGAGGAGGGGTTGAGGAGGGGTTGAGGAGGAGGTGAGGAGGGGTAGGTAAGGTGAATGAGGGGACGGTGAGGAGGAGGTGAGGAGGAGGTGAGGAGGAGGAGGTGAGGAGGAGGAGGTGAGGAGGAGGAGGTGAGGAGGAGGTGAGGAGGAGGTGAGGAGGAGGAGGTGAGGAGGGGGTGAGGAGGAGGTGAGGAGGAGGAGGTGAGGAGGAGGAGGTGAGGAGGAGGAGGTGAGGAGGAGGAGGTGAGGAGGAGGTGAGGAGGAGGAGGTGAGGAGGGGGTGAGGAGGAGGTGAGGAGGAGGAGGTGAGGAGGAGGAGGTGAGGAGGAGGTGAGGAGGAGGAGGTGAGGAGGAGGTGAGGAGGAGGTGAGGAGGAGGAGGCAGTGGAGCAGGCCTCTCACCTGGCGGACGTCACTGCCGTGGTTGGTGCTCAGTGTGACTCGATGTCCAGGGACATGAGGGGCCCCTGGGACCCAGCTGACCCTGACCCCACTGTGGGAGACCAGGGGGAAGGAGAGGGAGAGAGGGGGAGGCAGGGCCACTGTGGGGGAGGGACACACACACACACACACACGTGATAACAGTGTATACAACAGTGTATATATAACAGTAAAAGTCCACATGACTCACGTGTGCTGGCAGTAGCCGTCAGAGGCTCGCTCGGCTCGTCGTCGTACAGAGCGTACAGTGTCACAGAGTAGTCAGTAGAGGGCAGCAGATTCTCCAGAGTCACCTGAGTGAGGGCGGGGCTTAGCTTCTCCTGCAGGAAACAGGAAACAGGAAGCTGAACCACAACTCGAAGGGAGGGTTACTTCCACAGGCACAAAGGAACATGTGAGTGTTCTGACCAATCAGAGCGCAGATCAGAACGAGCCGAGTTTGTGACAAAAAAGACTGGATTTATAGAAAACGGATGGATTTCAAAAGACTAAAAACTCCTTTTTGAAAGATGTGGTTCTGTCTTTGAGGACGAGCCGTTTGAGTGACACAGCTCTGAGGGCGGAGCTCCTCTAGTTCATATGGATTTAGGCTGCAGTACCACAGGTGGCCTCTAGTCCATATGGATTTAGGCTGCAGTACCACAGGTGGCCTCTAGTTCATATGGATTTAGGCTGCAGTACCACAGGGGGCCTCTAGTTCATATGGATTTAGGCTGCAGTACCACAGGTGGCCTCTAGTCCATGTGCAAAAGGCTGAAATAATATGAATGATTCTCACTTTTTTAGCGCCCCCTGGTGTTCATGTGTTTATCTCTCTCAGGGTGTGCTCTCTCTGGGTGTGCTCTCTCAGGGTGTACTCTCTCTGGGTGTGCTCTCTCAGGGTGTACTCTCTCTGGGTGTGCTCTCTCAGGGTGTACTCTCTCTGGGTGTGCTCTCTCAGGGTGTGCTCTCTGAGGGTGTGTTCTCTGATGATGTGCTCTCTCAGGGTGTACTCTCTCTGGGTGTACTCTCTCAGGGTGTGCTCTCTCAGGGTGTACTCTCTAAGGGTGTGTTCTCTGATGATGTGCTCTCTCAGGGTGTGCTCTCTCAGGGTGTGTTCTCTGATGGATTGCTCTCTCAGGGTGTGTTCTCTGAGGGTGTGCTCTCTCAGGGTGTGCTCTCTCGGTGTGCTCTCTCAGGGTGTGCTCTCTGATGGTGTGCTCTCTCAGGGTGTGCTCTCTCAGGGTGTACTCTCTCTGGGTGTACTCTCTCTGGGTGTGCTCTCTGATGGTGTGCTCTCTCAGGGTGTGCTCTCTGATGGTGTTCTCTCTAAGGGTGTGCTCTCTCAGGGTGTGCTCTCTCAGGGTGTGCTCTCTCAGGGTGTGCTCTCTGATGGTGTACTCTCTCAGGGTGCGCTCGTGTAACTCACCTCTTGAGCGTCCTCTGGCTCCCCATTGGTCAGTGCAGAGTAGAGCAGCATGTACTGAGAGGCCCCCAGCGCCTCCCCCCACCTCACCCTCAGGGAGTCATACGAGACAGGGGAGACGAGGAGGTCCGAGGGAGTCTGCAGAGGAGCTGTGGAGAAAAGAGACCACCCCAATGAGAGACCACCCCAGTGTGACAGAGAGACCACCCCAGAGTGACAGAAAGACCACCTCAGTGTGACAGAGAGACCACCCCAGTGTGACAGAGAGACCACCCCAGTGTGACAGAGAGACCACCCCAGAGTGACAGAGAGACCACCCCAGTGAGACAGAGAGACCACCCCAGTGTGACAGAGAGACCACCCCAGTGTGACAGAGAGACCACCCCAATGAGAGAGACCACCCCAGTGAGAGAGACCACCCCAGAGTAACAGAGAGACCACCCCAATGAGAGAGACCACCCCAGTGAGAGAGACCACCCCAGAGTGACAGAGAGACCACCCCAGTGTGACAGAGAGACCACCCCAGTGTGACAGAGAGACCACCCCAATGAGAGAGACCACCCCAGTGAGAGAGACCACCCCAGAGTGACAGAGAGACCACCCCAATGAGAGAGACCACCCCAGTGAGAGAGACCACCCCAGAGTGACAGAGAGACCACCCCAGTGAAAGATAGACCACCTCAGTGAGAGACAGAGGCCACCCCAGTGAGAGAGAGAGACCAACCCAGTGTGAGAGAGACCACCCCAATAAGAGAGACCACCCCAGTGAAAGATAGACCACCTCAGTGAGAGACAGAGGCCACACCAGTGTGAGAGAGACCACCCCAATAAGAGAGACCGCCCCAGTGAGAGAGAGACCACCCCAATAAGAATGACCACCCCAGAGAGAGAGAGAGAGACCAACCCAGTGAGAGAGAGACCTCCCCAATGAGAAAGACCACCCCAGTGTGAGAGAGAGACCACCCCAGTGAGAGAGAGAGGCCACCCCAGTGAGAGAGAGACCAACCCAGTGTAAGAGAGACCACCCCAATGAGAGAGACCGCCCCAGTGAGAGAGAGACCACCTCAGTAAGAAAGACCACCCCAGAGAGAGAGAGAGAGAGAGAGACCAACCCAGTGAGAGAGAGACCGCCCCAATGAGAAAGACCAACCCAGTGTGAGAGCGAGACCACCCCAATGAGAGAGACCACCCCAATGAGAGAGACCACCCCAGTGTGAGAGAGAGACCACCCAACTGTGAGAGAAAGACCACCCAAGTGTGAGAGAAAGACCCAGTAAGTTTGCAAAGCTCTAGTGAAGCTGTGTTTCTTCTTTTGTCCGGTTTAATGATGTGTTTGATGATATTTCAGGGAAACGATAACGTGAGTGACGGCTTCATGTAACCATGGAGACCAGATCCTCCTGAGAGGAGCAGGTGCATTTAAGAGCACAGGGAACAGGGTGATTGTGTTTGGGGCATTTAGGCCACGCCCCCACGATGATCATGTGATGAACCACACCTCACACGGTCTTTGGAAACGTACTGTATGTGTGGTATGTATGTGTTGTGTGTACGTGGGTGTGTGTGTGTGTGTGAGTGTCGCGTGTATGTGCACTTGTTTTCAACTCCTGGTGGGTTCCATAACCTGAGATTCCACTCACGTCATGGGGACTGGTTTTACGTGGTGGGGCCCGAACACCGGACCCCACTGGTCCAAGCTTAATAATCAATGGGTAATGCTTTTCTAACGGTCCTTATGCAGTCTCTGTAAAAATATGGAAAGGACCCCTGGAGGTTTACTTTCCTGAAAAAAGTGTGTTATGTGTCGGAACCCTGGTGGTGGGTTGCGGGATATCAAGGAGGGGCACACTGGGGCAATTTCAGTCCAGCAGGCTGGAGCCAATCATGGAGCAGCACAACAGAGGAAATCAGGTGTCAGGCTAGAAAAATGTGCAAGTGTGTGGTTCATTAGGCTGCAAGAAATCATGGAGGAGCACACTGAAGCGCACGCTTACAAACCACTGGTAAGTGCTGACTACAAGTCATGACTTCAAATTGTTATATAGAATGATTACAAATTATTTGTTGTTTGTGCAGCTTAGTCAAGAGTCCCTAATTGATGAAGTCGACTCAGATTCTGACAATTTAACTGTCAAGAAGAAACCTGTAAAAAAGTATGGAAAAAGAAAAATCAAAAACACTTTTCTTCAAGACTCGGAAAGTGACGAACCAAAGGCAAATAAGATTGTTATCATGCAGCTGCAAAAGAAGAAAAATGGGGGGCGAGTTTACAGCAAGAGACACTTCTGCCTCTACTGTTCAATGTCCTGCCACAAAATGTCCCGTCATTTGACTAGAAAACATGGAAATGAAAGTGACGTAGCCAGAGCATTGGCTCTACCTGTGAAATCTAAAGCACGTAAACTTCAGTTTGATTTGATCAGGAATAGTGGAAACCGTGAGCACAATTTTGAGGTTTTAAAGGCCGGCATTGGAACTTTAGTCCCAGCTAAACAGCCAAATTCCCCAGTTAAATCCAGTGAGTTTTTGCACTGTATAGACTGTGGGGCATTGCTTAAGCGAAAGTCGCTGTGGAGGCATGTGGCCAGGTGCCGGCTTTCACAGAAAGATGCCCAGGCTAAACCAGGTAGAAGTAGGGTCCAGTCCCTCTGCTCCCTAGCCCAGCCTGTACCGGAGGGCATCAGCAAAAAGCTGTGGTCTTTAATTTGGGCAATGCATCAGGATGAGGTCACGGGTGTTGTCAAAGCAGAAAAAGGGGATTCTGAGACTCGGAGAGCACCTGTACTTAAAACACGGGCATGATAAGACTAAGCATGATTACATTAGGCAGAAAATGAGAGAAGTCGGTAGGTTAATTAACGAAGCAAAAACCGCAGGGAAACTGAAAACAATTAAGGATTTCTTTATTCCTTCCAACTTTAACCATGTGATTGATGCAGTCAGGTCTGTGGCTGGATATGATGAGGAAACAAATCAATACAAGACTCCATCCTTGGCCCTCAAACTCGGCCATAGCCTCAGAAAGCTAGCAGATATTCTTGAATGTGACTCAAAAATGGAGCATTGTGTTGATGAACTATTTATTAAAAACCTCCAACGAAGCCGGCTGCTTTTTGAGAAGAGGTGGGACGTCTGTGTTTCTTCTGCTGCCCTACAGACCCTCCGGCAAGCCAAGTGGAACACTCCGGACCTGCTCCCTCTGACTGAGGACGTTAGAGCCATGCATGCACATATTGAGGTATGTCGACCTGAATATGTGCAAACCCTAATAAGTGAGCCAACGTCTAAGCATTGGTCTAAACTGGCAGTTTTGACTCTTTGTGAGGTCATCATTTTCAATCGAAGAAGGGAAGGTGAGGTTTCAAAGATGCCACTGACAGCCTTTACCTTAAGAAGTAAGACTGGGATCCATTCTGACATTGCTCTGGGACTGTCCCAACTTGAGAAAAAGCTGTGTCAGCATTTTCAACGCATTGAAATTAAAGGGAAAAGAAGTCGGAAAGTGCCGGTTCTTTTGACTCCTGAAATGATTGCTTCGATGGAGGTGCTGGTGGAGAACAGAAGGGCCTGTTCCATCTCTGACCATAACCCATACTTCTTCTCCCGCCCGGGCGCAGACACCCACATCAGGGGATCAGACTCCCTACGCCAGGTAGCCAAAGAATGTGGTGCGGTGCATCCAGAGATGCTATCCTCAACCAAACTTAGAAAGCACATAGCTACTATGTCTACAGTTCTCAATATGAAAGAGAATGAAATGGACATACTTGCCAACTTCCTCGGCCATGACATTCGCATCCACAGACAATATTACAGACTACCAGAGGGGACACTGGAGCTGGCCAAAATCAGCAAAGTGTTGATGGCCATGGAGCAGGGAAGAGTGACGGAATTCGAAGGAAAGAGCCTCGACCAGATACAAATTGAGCCTGAAGGTAATTCTTGATATTATTAAAATATGTATGATTTTTTTCCCCTAAAGGCCACTTGTATTTTTATTTTCTGTGCGACAGGGAGAGCAGTAGAGATCCTCTCACAAACGGACGGGCTAAAAGAAACTTCAAGCGGAGAACCTTCAACCATTCATCCAGATGCACCCCATGGTAGTGGCAGTGCCCCTTCTGGTAAGTGTACCAGGTGGGGGATTACAGCCAGGCTGCTTGGTCCTCACCCTGGGAGTGTATATTGCTAATATATTTTTATTTCTCTCCCTAGAACGTTAGAGAAAGCCATGGTCTGCATCTGAGGTGAAGGCTGTGGAGAAGACCATGACACCTTTCATACAGACTGGAAAGGTCCCTGGGAAGTCTCACTGCCTGGCCTGCATTAATGCCTCACCAGATGACCTTAGACATCGGACATGGAGTGGCATTAAATTCTATGTCAAAAATAGAATCACTGCAATTCGAAAACAAAATCTAAAATAAAATTCCTTTAAAATAGTTGTTTGGTTTCTATTGACTGTTTTGTATTACTTAAAGTCTTGGTAAAAAAAGATTATGTCTATGGGTCCCATTCTGAACGGCCCTGTCAAAGGGACCCACCAGGTAACAAAAACGTGTATGTGTGTGTATGTGTGTGCGTTTGTGTGTGTGTGTGAGAGTTGTGTCTGTGTGTGAGAGTTGTGTCTATGTGTGAGTGTTGTGTGTATGTGTGTTTTGTGAGTACGTTTGTGTGTGTGTGAGAGTTGTGTCTATGTGTGAGTGTTGTGTGTATGTGTGTGTGTTGTGTAAGTGTATGTGTGTGGGTTTTGTGTGTGTGTGTGTGTTGTAAGTGTATGTGTTGTAAGTGTATGTGTGTGTACGTGTGCGAGTGTTGTGTGTGTTGTATGTATGTATTGTGTGTGTATGTATGTTGTATGTATTTGTGTGTGTGTTGTGTGTCCTGGACTCACGTGTGGTCACAGTTCCTCTCAGCGCTGCTCCAACGCCGCTGTCGTAGATGGGGAAAATGGAAACGTGATAAAGGGTGTGGGCGCTCAGACTCTGCAGCCGCACGGAGGAGGCGGAGCCAGAGACCACCTCCTGAAACACAGCAGACATTTTGGCTCTGATGAACTAGATCAGAACAAAAGCTGAGGAACTTTTGTGTGATGTGCTGTAACTGACCTCCTGAGCGCTCTGTCCCTCTGCGCTGTGGTACACCACTCTGTACTGCTGCACCTTAGCCTCGTTAGCATCATTATTATTGCTAGCCTCGTTAGCATTGTTAGCATCGTTAGCTTCGTTGGCTCTGGGCCCGTTCCAGTGCAGCCGGACGCTCCTGGACTCGAGCTCAGAGAAGCGCAGGTCTGTGGGACTGGGGAGGAGTCTGGGGGCGGAGTCTGAGGGAGGGGCCTCTGTGGGCGTCGGCTCCGGCTCCATACCTGAGACAGAAGTGACCTCAGTGTGGTGGAGCTCTCTGACCTCTGACCCCGGACCCCGTACTCACGCTTGCGGAGGCTCCTCTCCTGGATGCGGCCGCAGAGGAGGTGCACGAGGCGAGACACCAGTTTACTGAGCAGCGGGAAGTCGTTCACGTTATAGACGTTTAAATCGTCTGGAGCCGACGCCACCTGCCTCAGCTCTGCCTCATCTGCATTCTTCACTCCTACACACACACACACACACACACACAGGGATACACACACAGATACACACACACACACATACATGGATACACACACATACATGGATACACACACATACATGGATACACACACACAGGGATACACACACAGGGATACACACACAAATATACACACACACACACAGGGATACACACAGAGAATATAATTTACCAGGGTTAAAGTGCCCCATGGATCTGACCTATACTTATGCCTCTGAACCTGACCCTAACAATGACCCTGTATGTCTGACCCCTGACCTCTGACCCCATGTTTCTGTATGGACCGTACCCACGGCGATGATCTCGGCTCCGTGGTTCTTGACTTTGGTGGCAGCTGAAACGGCGTCGTCCTGAGATTTCCCGTCCGTCAGAAGCAAAAGGAACAAAGGCACATCTGAGCGCGCTCCAGAGGCAGGAGTCATGCTGTGCTCCAACACGTGAAGCAAGGCGTGACCTACAACATACAACACATATACAACATACATACAACAGTATACAGTATACAACACTTGACCAAGAACATACAACACATGACCTAGAACATACAACATGTGACCTAGAACATACAACATGTGACCTAGAACATACAACATGTGACCTAGAACATACAACATGTGACCAAGAACATATAACTGTCTAGAGGGTGTGTGTGTGTGTTAGTACTGTCCAGAGGGTGTGTGTGTGTGTACTGTCCAGAGGGTGTGTGTGTGTGTACTGTCCAGAGTGTGTGTGTGTGTTAGTACTGTCCAGAGTGTGTGTGTGTGTTAGTACTGTCCAGAGGGTGTGTGTGTGTTAGTACTTTCCAGATGGTGTGTGTTAGTACTGTCCAGAGGGTGTGTGTGTGTTAGTACTGTCCAGAGGGTGTGTGTGTGTTAGTACTGTCCAGAGGGTGTGTGTTAGTACTGTCCAGAGTGTGTGTGTGTGTTAGTACTGTCCAGAGGGTGTGTGTGTGTTAGTACTTTCCAGATGGTGTGTGTTAGTACTGTCCAGAGGGTGTGTGTGTGTTAGTACTTTCCAGATGGTGTGTGTTAGTACTGTCCAGAGGGTGTGTGTGTATTAGTACTTTCCAGATGGTGTGTGTTAGTACTGTCCAGAGGGTGTGTGTGTGTTAGTACTGTCCAGACTGTGTGTGTGTGTGTTAGTACTGTCCAGACTGTGTGTGTGTGTGTGTGTTAGTACTGCCCAGAGGGTGTGTGTGTGTTAGCACTGTCCAGACTGTGTGTGTGTGTGTGTGTTAGTACTGTCCAGAGGGTGTGTGTTAGTACTGTCCAGAGGGTGTGTGTGTGTTAGTACTGTCCAGACTGTGTGTGTGTGTGTTAGTACTGTCCAGACTGTGTGTGTGTGTGTTAGCACTGTCCAGACTGTGTGTGTGTGTGTGTGTTAGTACTGTCCAGAGGGTGTGTGTTAGTACTGTCCAGAGGGTGTGTGTGTGTGTTAGTACTGTCCAGACTGTGTGTGTGTGTGTTAGTACTGTCCAGAGGGTGTGTGTTAGTACTGTCCAGAGGGTGTGTGTGTGTATACTGTCCAGACTGTGTGTGTGTGTACTGTCCAGAGTGTGTGTGTGTGTGTTAGTACTGTCCAGAGGGTGTGTGTTAGTACTGTCCAGTAGGTGTGTGTGTTAGTACTGTCCAGACTGTGTGTGTGTGTGTTAGTACTGTCCAGAGGGTGTGTGTTAGTACTGTCCAGAGGGTGTGTGTGTGTTAGTACTGTCCAGAGGGTGTGTGTGTGTGTACTGTCCAGACTGTGTGTGTGTGTGTTAGTACTGTCCAGAGGGTGTGTGTTAGTACTGTCCAGAGGGTGTGTGTGTGTGTTAGTACTGTCCAGACTGTGTGTGTGTGTGTTAGTACTGTCCAGAGGGTGTGTGTTAGTACTGTCCAGAGGGTGTGTGTGTGTATACTGTCCAGACTGTGTGTGTGTGTGTTAGTACTGTCCAGAGGGTGTGTGTTAGTACTGTCCAGAGTGTGTGTGTGTGTGTTAGTACTGTCCAGAGGGTGTGTGTTAGTACTGTCCAGATGGTGTGTGTGTTAGTACTGTCCAGACTGTGTGTGTGTGTGTTAGTACTGTCCAGAGGGTGTGTGTTAGTACTGTCCAGAGGGTGTGTGTGTGTTAGTACTGTCCAGAGGGTGTGTGTGTGTGTACTGTCCAGACTGTGTGTGTGTGTACTGTCCAGAGTGTGTGTGTGTGTGTTAGTACTGTCCAGAGGGTGTGTGTGTGTTAGTACTGTCCAGAGGGTGTGTGTGTGTTAGTACTGTCCAGAGGGTGTGTGTGTGTACTGTCCAGAGGGTGTGTGTGTGTGTGTACTGTCCAGACTGTGTGTGTGTGTGTGTTAGTACTGTCCAGAGGGTGTGTGTTAGTACTGTCCAGAGGGTGTGTGTGTATTAGTACTGTCCAGACTGTGTGTGTGTGTGTTAGTACTGTCCAGAGGGTGTGTGTGTGTGTACTGTCCAGACTGTGTGTGTGTGTACTGTCCAGAGTGTGTGTGTGTGTGTGTTAGTACTGTCCAGAGGGTGTGTGTGTGTTAGTACTGTCCAGACTGTGTGTGTGTGTGTTAGTACTGTCCAGAGGGTGTGTGTTAGTACTGTCCAGAGGGTGTGTGTGTGTTAGTACTGTCCAGAGGGTGTGTGTTAGTACTGTCCAGAGGGTGTGTGTTAGTACTGTCCAGAGGGTGTGTGTGTGTTAGTACTGTCCAGAGGGTGTGTGTGTGTACTGTCCAGAGGGTGTGTGTGTGTACTGTCCAGAGGGTGTGTGTGTGTGTGTACTGTCCAGAGGGTGTGTGTGTTAGTACTGTCCAGAGGGTGTGTGTGTGTGTGTGTGTGTGTGTGTATACTGTCCAGAGACTGTGTGTGTGTGTGTGTGTGTGTGTGTGTGTGTATACTGTCCAGAGACTGTGTGTGTGTGTGTGTGTGTGTGTGTGTGTGCTGTGTGTGTGAAGAGTATTATGGGATGGCTCTGACCAGTGAAGGTGTTCCCTCCCTTGTATCTGAATCCTCGTGTGGCCTCCAGAAGCTGCTCTTTCTCAGTGAAGTTGTTGAGTTTCCATTCGGTCCTGGGATCCGACGAGTACTGAGTCAGACCTGTGGAAGCAAGACTGCACAGTATCACATCCTTCTGGTCTCTGGCTGGTCTCTCTCTGGTCTCTCTCTGGTCTCTCTCTGGTCTCTCTCTGGTCTCTCTCTGGTCTCTGGCTGGTCTCTCTCTGGTCTCTCTCTGGTCTCTGGCTGGTCTCTCTCTGGTCTCTCTCTGGTCTCTCTCTGGTCTCTGGCTGGTCTCTCTCTGGTCTCTGGCTGGTCTCTCTCTGGTCTCTGGCTGGTCTCTGGCTGGTCTCTGGCTGGTCTCTGGCTGGTCTCTGGCTGGTCTCTGGCTGGTCTCTGGCTGGTCTCTGGCTGGTCTCTGGCTGGTCTCTCTTTGGTCCCTGATCTTTCTGGTCTCTGGCTGGTCTCACCTCTAGTCTCTGGTCTCTCTCCAGTCTCTGGTCTCTCTGGTCTCCCTCAGGTCCCTAGACTCGCTGGTCTGTCTCTGGTCTCTTTCTGGTCTCTTTGCTTTCTCTCTGGTCTCTCTAGTCCCTGGTCTCTCTGGTCTCTCTCTGGTCTCTAATGTCTCTCTCTGGTCCCTAGTCTCTAAGGTCTCTCTCTGGTCCCTAGTCTCTCTGGTCTCTCTCTGGTTTCTAAGGTCTCTCTCTGGTCCCTGATCTCTCTGGTCTCACTCTGGTCTCTCTCTGGTCTCTCTCTGGTCTCTAAGGTCTCTCTCTGGTCCCTGATCTCTCTGGTCTCTCTCTGGTCTCTCTCTGGTCCCTCTCTGGTCTCTCTCTGGTCCCTCTCTGGTCTCTCTCTGGTCTCTCACCTATCTGGACGTGCTGGGGTCCTATGGTAAAGGGCAGGACCAGATTCTCGATAAAGTCTCGGACTCGTCTGAAGTTGTTGCGTCCGATGCTCCAGGAGCCGTCCACCAGGAGCAGGAGGTCTGCGGCCGCTTCACTGTCACAGCGGGACGGCCTCCTCACAGAGGGCCCTGAGGAGAGACATGTGACATCACAGAGGGCCCTGAGGAGACACATGTGACATCACAGAGGGCCCTGAGGAGAGACATGTGACATCACAGAGGGCCCTGAGGAGAGACATGTGACATCACAGAGGGCCCTGAGGAGAGACATGTGACATCACAGAGGGCCCTGAGGAGACACATGTGACATCACAGAGGGCCCTGAGGAGAGACATGTGACATCACAGAGGGCCCTGAGGAGAGACATGTGACATCACAGAGGGCCCTAAAGAGAGACATGTGACATCACAGAGGGCCCTGAAGAGAGACATGTGCCATCACAGAGGGCCCTGAGGAGAGACATGTGACATCACAGAGGGCCCTAAAGAGAGACATGTGCCATCACAGAGGGCCCTGAGGAGAGACATGTGACTTCACAGAGGGCCCTGAAGAGAGACATGTGACTTCACAGAGGGCCCTGAAGAGAGACATGTGACTTCACAGAGGGCCCTGAAGAGAGACATGTGACTTCACAGAGGGCCCTGAGGAAGTCAACGTGGGTTTGGCTCCTGTTGTCGTACTGACTGTTAGAACATTATTGTGGCGTATTCCCTGAATGTGGGCGGAGCTTTGCCTGAGGGGGCGGGTCTCTCACCTGAGGGGGCAGGGCTCTTCCTTGTCCCCCCTCTCTCATTAGTCCCCTGTTCATCTTTCTTGTCGTGTTTGTGGTTTTTCGTTCGGTCTCGTTGTTTCTTCTTGCGTCGCTCTGTGGGGTCAGAGGTCGGCCTCAGGGCAGGACCTGCAAGAACAGAGTGTCATTCTCCCCTCCAAAAAATATCCACTGATTGCTAACTTTCTCTGGTCTTTCTCAGCTAACTTTCTCAGCAGTCCCTCACATGACCACAGGGGGCAGCAGTCCCTCACATGACCACAGGGGGCAGCAGTCCCTCACATGACCACAGGGGGCAGCAGTCCCTCACATGACCACAGGGGGCTGTACACTGAGGTTGGGTCTCACCTGAGGGGGGGATGGTCTTTGGGGCGGTCTCTGTGGTCTGCCGGTAGATCAAAGGAGGAAGCTCGGTCCCAGACTCAAACTCTGCACCAGACTCTGTCCTGGACTCGGTCTCAGACTCAGACTCTAACTCAGTCTCAGACTCAGTCTCAGTCCCAGACTCGGTCCCGGTCTCCTCAGTTTCTCCAGATCCTGATCCCAGAGAGAACAGCCTCTTCCTCAGCGTGCTGCGGCTCTGCTCGTCCTGCTTCAGGCTCCAGACTGAAAACACAAGTACACACATGTGTACACACAAGTACACACACTGTACACTAAAGTACACACATATGTACACACAAAAGTAGACCAGATTCCCGTTCATGAGTGCTAATGCTAATGTTTCGCTATGCTAACTTCAACAACTGTCTTGGACAGGGGTCCTCAAATGGCAGACCGGGGGCCAAGGCCAGGACCTCAAGAGCATTTTCTCTGGACCTCCTTTTTTTTTGTCTAAAAATACATTATTACACGTATATAAATATAAATGTTTTTTGTTTAACCAAAAACGATTTTGGGAGTGCATAATGTTGAGAGGGCATAAAAATGGTAACAGTTGTCATAGTGAGAGTTGCCATGGAAACTGCTGCTATGGCAATCACTATGGCAACTGTTACCATGAGAACCATTGTGATTAGAATAATCACCATCAACCAACTGTTACCATGACAACTGACAGACAATCTGGTCAATGTTGCAACCGGCGCGCCGGCGGCCGTTTTTATGTTTTTAAATGTTCTGCTGGCAATAGCAGATGTATTTTGAACACCAAACCCCAAAAGCTGTATATCATTTTAAAGCTTATTTTCTTATCTACATTTATATACATGTAAACTACATCAGACTTTGCATTCAAAAGATATAACACATAATGTGGGCACAAAATAAATCAATTCCAAAATAGTTTTTTACCTTTGGGCTTGTGCTGTACAAATAAATCAGCTCTCCTCCCAGCTTGCAATACATCATTCTCTCTGGAACAGTCCAAAGGAAGATTATATCCACTTGTATTTCCCAAAGTAAAATCCATTCTGCAGAAATAATCCAAAAATGTGCATTTATCTTTAGCGAAAAAAACGAAAAAAAAGAGCACAGATGTTACTCTTTCACTTTTAACGGACTTTTAGCTTTGTTTTTCACCCAAACATCTGGTATCTACGTGTTCCTTAGCTTCAAATGAGACTACTCCCGAAAAGCTAGACCAATTTTTGGGTCTGCAATAGCTCCCGCAAGTACAGCTTGCGCTGCTGTTTGCGCATTGATCACTGATCTTTGTTGTGATCCCAACTTGTTTGCTTTTACTTCCGGGATTTACGATTGACATGTCCTTGTAGCCAATGAGGAAAGCTTTCGAACAAGGGGTGGGACAATGGTGTCCTGTCTTATGTTGGGCCTGGACAATTGTGCGTAATGGCAGCCAAAAGACGCTCTCGAAGCTGCAATGAATTTACACTCATAAAAAAATAACATTGACATTTAAAAAAGAAAAACACACATAGATTAGTAACTTATAAGTACCAATAATAAAAAATATTGTTTTTATGATGATTAAATGTAAGTAAAAATATTTGGCACAATTTGGCACACTTGTGCCAAATTGTGCCAAATGTGCACTACTTGATGAAAAGGAGAAACTGCATAAAAACTATAAAACTTAGAAGTCTGAAACTTTAGACAGTTGTTGTCAACAACACAATGACCACAGGGTTTGAATATTGTTAACTTACAATGAAGTATGCCTTTTTTAGGGCCTTTAGAAATTGAAAATGTTAGGCGAGGCTAAAAAATTGTTTTTTTTTCCCTAACTTCAAAGGATGCAGAGGAAAATAGGAATGACAAACATTATTTTAGTATTTTTTACATAAACTAGAAGGCTCTAGCTTTAAAATGATGCATCACACAAGCATGTGAGATGTAAGATGTGTTTTTAAATAAGCAAAGACATTTGGGTATGCCCAACTTTTGTGCACAAGCCAAAATGAGGCGGGTTTTAAGAGGTTAATGCGAATTGGGAGATCCTGACTAAGTTTGTTATAGTCAAAATGGCAACAGTTGCTAGAGCAAGTCATCATGGCAACTGTTGCTATGGCAATAGTCACCATGGCTGCTGTTGCTGTGGCAACCATCACTATGGCAACCATCGCCATGGCAATTGTCACCATGGCAACCATGATTATGGCAATGGTCACCATGGCAACTGATGCTATTGCTATTGTTGCTATGGCAATAAGCACCATGGCAACTGTTCCCACAGTGATGGTTGCCAGGCTAACTGCTGCTATTAAAGTTAGTGATGGTTGTCAGGGTAACTGTTGACAACTGTTGCTATGGCAACAGTTGCCTTGACAACTTTCACTAACTGTTGCTATGGCAACAGTTACCCTGGCAACCATCACTAACTGTTGCTATGGCAACAGTTACCCTGGCAACCATCACTAACTGTTGCTATTGCAACAGTTACCCTGGCAACCATCCCTATTGAAAGAATCAACATCAACCAAATGTTACCATGACAACTGACAGACAATCACCATGGCAGCTATTACCATGGCAATTTCTACCATGACACTGGACAGATTTCATTTCTCACTAGATTTGTAATAAAGTAAGTAAGTAAGTAAGTAAGTAAGTTTTTATTTATATACCGCCTTTTCACTGCAGATCTGAGTCTCAAAGCGGTTTACAATTGTTAATTTTGGGCATTTGTCTCTCACTCCACACAGAGATGGGAGCGGGGTCGCCAGTACAGGAAGCGCATGCCAGAACTATTGGACATATTTTTAGTGGTAGGGGAAACCGGAGTACCCGGAGGAAACCTACACAGACACAGGGAGAACATGCAAACTCCACTCAGAAAGGCCCTGGTCCGACCGGGATTCGAACCCAGGACCTTCTTGCTGAGAGGCGAGAGTGCTAGCCACTCAGCCACCGTGCCGCCCCGTAAGTATGATTACTGTATGTACAGTCTTTTACTGTCTATTATTTTACAACAGGTTGTATGATGTCCGGACCCTGGACTACTGAGCTGATCCAGTTAGTGGACCAACCCTGGTCTCTAGGACAAAGACATGTAGGAGGATGGCCTTCTGTGTACAGTTAGCATGTTGTAGGAGGATGGCCTGCTGTGTACAGTTAGCATGTTGTAGGAGGATGGCCTGCTGTGTACAGTTAGCATGTTGTAGGAGGATGGCCTTCTGTGTACAGTTAGCATGTTGGTGTGCTTAGTATGTTAGCATGTTTTCTCACTGGAGAAGCGTCTCTTTGCCAATAGTCTTTCCGCTGTGCTGTTGAGCAGTAGCACTTGAAGGACATATTCTTGATTGGCGTCCAGTCCGGCCACAGTGGCGCGCCCCCTGGTGGTGGTCAGCATGAGCTCCGGCTGTGGCTCGTCTGAAACATCAACAATCAGAGATGAAGAAATAAAACAAATGTTTAATGGAATAAGAGACGACCGGGGTGAGCGGGCAGCAAGTGTTCCCGTGTTTCTGACGGACTCTGACCTGAGATGGTCTTCACTCGGACCTTGTACCCCTGGACTGGACCTTCAGGCTCCTTCCACTTCACCTGCAGACGCTCCTCAGAGAGAACCGTCAGCTTCAGCCTCCCTGTGGAGAGACCAGTTTAAGACCAGTTTAAGACCAGTTTAAGACCAGAGACTAGTTTAAGACCAGACACCAGACTACAGAGCAGAGACCAGTTTAGGACAAGTTTAAGACTAGTTTAAGTTTAAGATTAAGAGATCATGTATTGGTCCCACTGTGGGGAAATTTCAGTGTTGCATCAGAAGTTACAGAACAGTAGGAAAGAGGGGCACACAGCCAGTTTGACCAGAGACTAGTTTAAGACCAGGAACCATATTTTTATGACAAAGTTCACCAAAAATATCACCACATAAAATTAAAATAAAAGTTGAGTGGCTGCGTGAGATCATAGTGACCTAAGACAATTAAAGACTACAGGTAAGAGTTAGCTTACATGCTAACTCTTACCCAGCGGGGGCAGGTCCCAGCCATGGATCTATAATAATAACTGGGTAGGGTATTACTAGCTTACAGCTGTCCCACCCACAGCCACAGGGGGCGCTGTGGTACTGCAGACTAAAGTCACGCGGGCTACCTGGACATTTTCCACGTAGATCTCAACGTAAACGAAAACAGCTCGACCTCAGCTGACAGAAAACCTGGCAGAGAACCTGGCAGAGAACCTGACAGAGAACCTGACAGAGAACCTGACAGAGAACCTGACAGAGAACCTGACAGAGAACCTGGCAGAGAACCTGACAGAGAACCTGACAGAGAACCTGGCAGAGAACCTGACAGAGAACCTGACAGAGAACCTGGCAGAGAACCTGACAGAGAACCTGACAGAGAATCTACAGCTTTCATAAAGGTCGGATTTTGTGGGGATTTTAGTGTCCCTTTTCATCTTGAACTTTTTTTCTTCTAAATCCTTCGGTTTTCTTTAAATCCACACTTTACTGACACAAACTCTGCTCCTTTCCTTCCCGCTCTGACTCCGCTCTGCT